TTGGTATGAAAACAAGATTGGATAAAATGACTAATAATATTCTTTTTTCAATGTCTAGTTTGTTCAATTCAAATAATTAAAATGAAGTCAGTTAAGCTCAAAAAGGAAAAAGTAAAATAAAATAAAATAAATTGGGTCATCCATGGCAAGACGATGCACTTTTCGTTGGCTTGCTATTGTCGTTATTAGTTATGAAATATGTACGTGTTAAAAATTTGAGAAAAAAAAATAATTTGCATACAAACATGAAGAGCATATTGAGTACAATGAATTAAATGAATTTATTCTATATCAAATGATTTAAGTATGAAGTCGATAAATAAATAGTATACGTGCTAGCACATGGAATTTGAGCAAATAGAAACGAAAGTGAGAAACAAGTCGTCGTTGGTTATAATTGAGGTTATTTTAATTGGAAAGTGGTAATAATTGAACCTAAAATGGCCCATCAATTCGACTTTAGTGTAGAATGATGTGCCCAAGTTGTTGGTCATTGTTTATTAAAATTATCTAGGTATAACACGTGAATTCATGTGAAGAGGGTCCTCGATGTTACATATATACACTAACGCCATTAGCCTCATTTTAGTGTTACTAAGATTGAAGAATTATTCTAAACCTCGTTTGGCCCCCATTCTTTCCGAATTTTAATGATTGGAATAATGTTTTTTCAAAAATGTGTAATTGAAAAAGAATGAAAAGTTTTTTATTTGCGTGTAATATTATTTTATGAAAAATTTTGTGATTGAAAATAAAATAGAGAAGAAGAATGAGAAGGAAAATGAGGACCAGATAGGGGCTAAATTGTTTGACACAAAAGTGTATCATTACCTCATATGTATGACTTATTTTCTTAATTTATGACGAAAAAGGGTAAATTTTACTTGGGTCGGAGTGACTCAACAAAAATTAGCTCCATTTTGTCTTTAATGAACTATTGAAATATTGAAAACGATACTCAACTTTTGTTTCTATTTTAATTTTTTTATCACTTATAAGTGAAAAAAGTTAATTGTTTTGACATTTACTTCTGAAATAAATAAACTATCTCTCACCATAACCAAGATAAAATATTTATTTGTACTTATAGCTTTATTACTTCTAAGTAAATTTTGTAAGATTATCCAAACAGGCATGCAGTTTCCCAACTTAACATATTTGTTTTAAGTTTTTGAAATACAATACAAATTTTTTATCCTGTTAGGTATTAATTGAAAGTTTGGTTGACATCGTGCTTTTTTGGTAGCGTAGGTAAGTGTTTATAAGTTGCAGATCCTCTCATTTACAAGGAGTTAATTTGACAAACGGTCACAATATTTTAATTTGATCCTTGAAATATTTTTCCTTCGCATTTTATTACCAAACTTAATTAACATTGCACAAATGTTCACTCAATTAGTGAAAGTAATAATCAGTTGACATGGTGCTTGTTAAAATCAAAATTTTAACCGGTGTTAATTTGTGTATTCATGCAAGATATAAATGGTGGAAGCTCCGTTTGACCCCCATTCTTTTCGAATTTTAATGGTTGGAATAGTGTTTTTTGAAAAAAATGTGTAATTGAAAAAGAATGAAATTTTTTTGATTTACGTGTAATATTATTTTATGGAAGATTGTGTGATTAAAAATAAAAGAAAGAAAAAGAATTAGAAGGAGAATGGGGGACAAACGGGAGCTAAATTATTTGACACAAAAGTGCATCATTACCTCATATGTATGACCTCATTTTCTTAATTTATGACAAAAAAAGGTCAATTTTACTTGGGTCGGAGTGACTCAACAAAAATTGGCTCCATTTTTGTCTTTAATGAAATATTTAACTATTGAGATTGAAAACTATACTCAACTTTTTTTCCTATTTTAATTTTTTATCACTTATAAGTGAAAAAAATTAATTGTTTTGACATTTACTTTTGAAATAAATAAACTATCTCTCACCATAACCAAGATAAAATATTTATTTGCACTTATAGCTTTATTACTTCTAAGTAAATTTTTTAAGATTATCCAAACAGGCATGCAGTTTCCCAACTTAACATATTTGTTTTAAGTTTTTGAAATACAATACAAATTTTTTATGCTATTAGGTATTAATTGAAAGTTTGGTTGACATCGTGCTTTTTTGATAACGTAGGTAAGTATTTATAAGTTACAGATCCTCTCATTTACAAGGAGTTCATTTGACAAACGGTCATAGTATTTTAATTTGATCCTTGTAATATTTTTCCTTCTCATTTTATCACCAAACTTAATTAATATTACACAAATGTTCACTTGATTAGTGAAAGTAACAATCAATTCAACATGGTGCTCATTAGAAGCTAAATTTTAACCAGTGTTAATTTGTGTGCCATGCAAGATATAAATGGTGGAAGGGCATTTGTTCATGTTAAGTTGAAACAATCTAAAGGTAGAAGTAATGCTTTTTCTTTTAATCTTTTTGTCGGAATATTTAATTATGGAGTATTTTTATGTCTTTTCATTTAATATAACAAACGCAAGATTCACATGACCATATATGATTGAGATTGAGTGAGTGTTAGGGCTAGAGAATATTACTTTTGAAAATTTTAACAACCATAGTGTTTGAGTCCATTAGTTGTAATTACTAATTAACGATTTGTATTAATGCTCTGCAGGAATAGTCGAAACTATACCCAATCGAAAAAGGATGTTATCCAAACGCATTTTAAATAATTGTAGTAAAACTTGACCTATTGACCTGTGGCTTTTTCGGCATTTGTCCACGTAATCCACATCCGATTGAATGTTAATTTCTTCACTGTCAAGGTTACCACCGTAATAAAGTCCATGACCTTTACTAAGTAAATCGTAAGTATATTTTAAGGACCAACTTGAGCTTTTGCACAAACTTTAGTAACAATTTAAGATATTAACTCCACGGTAATAAAAATAATTAAATGAGTCAGAAAATTCTTTAAGGAGCAATTTTACTCGTTATTCATTGATTGAGCGACCGTATGCATAACGTAAATTAATTAGCTTTATTGACTATATGAATTGGTAAAAAAAAATTACTTTTTAAGAATACCAAATATAAATTTTGCCCTAACTTCACTTTATGTGATCACATAGATAAGAGTTTTCACTGTAAAAAAATCTAATTTCATCAACTCAAGTAACATCATACCAACATGTTTTTCTATTTAATTCCCCTTTTCATTGATAAAATCACTTATCAAAAAATAAAAATAAAAGCATTCCTCAAATTTTCTTGAAACTACATCTCAATGGAACCCTAATCCTTTTGAACTGTTAAAACCTTCACTTTACATAAGTAATACTACATAGCTGTCGATCTTATTCTGCTATGTTGTTACATTTTGTTAGGTAAAAAAATTTATTTGACTACAGATTTATTAGTTTTCACAAGATTTAAATTTAATTTACTTTCATTCTTTTTCTTCTTTTTATTTTAAGAAATGGATGAGGGAATTTGAATCCTAATTCTCTACCCAAAGATGCAGGTTTCCTCTTTATAGTTTGGGAAGTTAATCTACCTGTTTATTCATTATTCTATACAGGTATTACCAAGGCGCAGAGAAAGTCAGCCAAAATGTTTCTTTAGAAGTTTCTTGTCTATTCATTTATGTTTCTAGCATGCATCATGAACAACTAACTATGTCTTTTCTTGTGAATTAAATACAAAGTTGTCTAAGGGGTCCGAAAGATTTGCCTTTCCTCATTGATTATTACATTATACAAGAGCCATGAACCTTTGAAGTGGGCATTAGAACATGGAGAAGATATTTTCGTAGTACGAGAGGATCGAGAAAGAATGCACATCTTGAATACCAGTAATTGTGGCCGCGATAAATGCTGAGTAGCAAAGTGCAGAGCGAATAATTGTTTAAAGCATCTAAGCCATTAACCCACGCCAAGACACGTGTTCTTCTATTCCAACTACCTCATAGCTTCCGATATCACAGCAAGCATAACAATGGGTGTGCTCCTACGGGACTAAAAAATCTATCTCAAGAACTTCGCTCCTTAGTTTATGAGGAAGTGAAAATACGAGTTTATAAGCCCCTAAGGAAAATTAAGTATTTGAGAAGAAGTTCTATCAACTAGTTTGCTGGGAAGTTCTAAATATTGTAATCATCTTTTATTTAATTAGGTGAATTATACCTAGATCTAAAGTAAGTTATCGTTGACAACTTTATGTAACAAGATGCACCAAGTAAAAAGTAGCACCTGAGCGATTAATATTAATATATGTATGATGTTGAGTAATATAATAGAGGAATCAAAAGATAAGTATTATGCAAACCTAATTTTTTAATCTAAACATGATATTAGGAAAATATATGTTGACCTTGTTTTCAGTTGAGGCCACATGGACAACAGATATCGAATCCACCCGCGCACACATAAATCGAGTCCTACACGCTAAGACACAACTATCTAGAATGGTCTGAGAAAGGGTTTGGGAGCAGTTCAAAGGCACGAGATGATAACATTTAGAATCCAGCGACACATTTGTAGAACGATTGCACGATAATTACCAATCGTAGAGGATGAATACTATGTAAACCTAGTTGTATTTGTAAGAGAATAAAATAGAGTGAATTGTTTTGTATTTACTCTAGCATTGAGTTTGTATACAAAGTTGCATTAGCCTTACAACAGTGACATGGGGGAGTATTTATAGTAGTGCAAGATAAATTGTGGCCTTACAACAGTGACATGGGGGAGTATTTATAGTATTTATAGGAAAATTAAGAAGTGTTTGAGAAGGTGTTCTATCAATTAGTTTATATTGAAGTTCTAAATATTGTAATTGTAAGGGACCATCCTCTTATATTTAATTAAGTCTAGATCTAAAGGAAGTTATCATTGACGACTAAATGTAACAAGTTGCACCAAGTAAGAAGTGGCATGGGGCAATAAATATTTATATCTATATTACATGTAGTGATATAATAGAGGAAAAAAAGGACAAAGTTTTATGCAAACATTAATTTCTAATCAAAACATGATTGAAGGAAAATATATATTTTTATCAATCATAACATGATAGAAGGAAAAGAAATTTAATATGCATTGAGCATAATACTTTCTTTTCACATCTACAACTTCCCTATATATAAACCGGTTTCTTATCTTAGACGCAGTACAATATGGAATTCATAATTCTTCAAGTTACCTTCTCTCATTTCCCATTTTCAGATAATGATAGTCGCCTTCTTGTAGCCTGTGCTTCTTCCATAAGTCAGAATTAACAAAGATGATCTCGACTATCACTTATAATCACTTGATCAATAGGGAGGCCGTGGTGGTGCCGGCCAACCATAGGCATCATGATTCAACTGGCCGCCATTCGGTAACAAAATCGGCATCAAATTGTAAATTGCCATTGAGGAAGGATCAGGAATCCCATGCTGCTGTTGCCCTCCACTTGTTCCTATTCCAGATGAATTTCCAGGTACCTGAGCTTGGTTGGATCCATCAGCTTCATCGTCTTCTTCGAGGGGCAATCTTTCATATGTTGCATTAGAAAAAGTTGCAGCAATGACCATAACAGGCCCTGCTGCAACAAGTGGCCCTATAACACTTCCACCCAACACCTGTCCCCGATCACCAGCTAAGTACACCGAAAGTCCAGTCGAGCCCGGAGGAGCCGGACCGGGCAAGAAAGCCCCATTTAAGGACAAAATTTCGAACCTCCCTTGAAATATCATGGCAGCACTAGGTGCAGCCGGCTGTCTTATGGTCACGTTTGCTACCGAGCCACTACCGGTTAGCACACACACCCCGCGTTGATGCCTTCTTGCAAACTGGGCTATGCTTTCCGTAACATCAGTGCCACCGGAAACCTCAATTACATGGCTACGAAGCGCGTAAGGGCTATCCTGGGTGACATATGTAGGTGGTTTGGGTTTGTTCTTGGATCCGGCAGGCCGTCCTCTAGGCCGACGAATGCCTAACTCAATAGTAGGATCGTCTCCATTGTCTCTTTCTTCGTCTTCACCTTCGCCTCTTGCGCTGCTTCTTCCTCCAGTTATTTCATTCATTGATAGCTGATTCATGTTGCTTATGAACATTAGAGCAGAAGAAAAAGATAAATAACTTGTTGATCTTTCCTTTCTCTTAACTTTCTTTGTTTACTAATCAAATTCAAATTTTAATCACACGCTTTATTGATCATCTCAGAGCAAGAAAAGTTGAACCCAGAAATTGATTAGAAATTTCTCCTCAATCTTAGGAGATCTATCCTCTACTTTTTCACACAAAGTAAGAGAGAGAAAGAGTTGATGATGATGAGAAGAAGAAGAAGAAGAAGGAGATCCAAATATTAAAACCAAGAAATCTAAAAAATCAACAAGTGGAGAAACACATAGGAAAGATGCAAAAGAAAAATGTAAAGCTGGTGAAAAATGAAACTACTTTGAACAAGAAAATCAAAACTATGAAAGTTACATATGTATTTTCTATGTTTCAATAGGCTCAAGTATTAATATTAGGATCTAAGGTTTATGTTTTTCTTTATAGTTCCTTCTTTGATCTCTGGTTTTTTCCCAAGAAAATTAGGGTTTTTTAATGGTGGGGTCCGCATGGGCATGAGCAGGTGGGGGAGCACGTCACTGTCCCGTGTCCAAACATATTTAACGGAGGAGGACCTCTATTCAACATTTGATATATGATAAATTTCGTTTTCATTTTTACCCTAGCTTACAATACACGTACAGAAAATTAGTTTTTTAATTTACGTTTACTTACATGTTTAGATATTTTATTGGTTCCTTGGTCAATCAAATATAGTTTTGATAAAAGTTGATAAAATATGTAATTAAAAAGTTGATCAAAGTTACGAGTCATATGACATGTACGGTTCAAAATGAGTTTGAGAAAAAAAAATTTAATGAGAGCCAAACATGGACTAAATTTTTCACGCTCCATGATGAAAGATTTTTGTAAATCTTTATAATCTCAACTTGTGTATGATAAATCTTTGAAATTTGACTGCTTTTTTGGCCGTATTTTCACGTAGAATATTATACTATAGATTTATTGACTATGGTATGTAGTGGTATAAATATTTGCGAGACTTAGCACACTAGGTTTGTCTTTTCTATTAGCTCCTTCAAAGTTGAGACAACATGGGGTAATGACACAGGTCACTTACGACAAGACTTGCAAGTCAAAGTCAAATTTTAATAGCTACATTTTCTTTTACAGTTTTCGAATATATCTATAAAATCTCTTAGAAAAATTATACTTACGTTGCATGTTTTTTTAAATGTTTTCAGAAAGTTTTGTTTGAGAATAGAAGAGGCTTATCTCTTTAAAATTCAAACAAAAAGTTTGATATTGTTCGCTATATTGATTGAAAAAAGTGTTACAATTGGAGGGGACATGACCACCTTACATTAGGAATCCCCATTTCTCCAAAATTGATGAGACCTGTGACATTTCCTTTTAGATGTCTTGGGTTTGTGGTCTTTAATCCTCTTAATTACCCAGTATTAGCGAGGCAATTTGAAACCGGATCTCTCTCTCTCTCTCTCTGAGTAACCTGCATTTTATTTTTCTGGTGTCTAATCTCTTTTATCAAGTACTCAATATACTAAGGTGTCATAGATCGCGATTTAGCTTAACGCTAAGGTTCGTGATTGTTGGGAATGATGAAAGAACTTGTCTTAACATTGAGTTACTAGTTTACCATAATTGCAGCATTATTCGTGCATTGAGCAGAGAGCCTTAGCAACTGAGTTTCGGGAAGCCACTTTATGAAAGCTTTCCTATAAGAAGCTTCCCACCAAGACAGAAGTCAATTCGAGTCCATTTGGTTAAAAATCGTAAGGACAAGGCAACGGAGTTGGGCAATTTCTTTTACGAAGTTTTAGTATATTGAGACAGCAATATCTCAACGATCGAGTATCAATTGAATAAGAAACTTTGTGGAGTTAAAATTGAGGACGTTAGCTTCTCTTAGGATTAAACATAGAATAATTTGGAGATCAAAGAGGAAAGTTTCGAAAATTATGAATCCTCGATAAAAAAAGATGTCTACTTCTATCATTTGAGTTTTTGTTGCTAATTATATAATAACGTAGATATGTTTGGTGAACTGTCTGTCAATCTTCAATGTACTTTCATCCCCATAGAACCACCAATGGACTATTCTTATGTATCAAATGTGCATTCCTTAGGCCTATGGGGACTCAAGCCCATCAGACGACGTTAAGCCTTCGTAGTCTTTGTTAGGCACCTAGAACGGGGCTTAGGTTACCAGTTGAGCATTGATTGTTATGGTTCGAGATCTAAGGGAAGGATATGAGTTAGCCTCTAGGCCGAATGAACTATCGAGAAAAGTACTCAAAAGGCCTTGTACGCCGCACGTATGCATTGGCTATGTGTTCCAGCCTTGCCACATGGATCTGTTGACTATAAATGCGATCATTGGAAGACAATTCATATATTTGGGGAAACGAGGCAAGATTTCAATACTGTGGAAACTAGTATGCTATGAAGGCACTTCAATTTAGCTATGGAATAATGGATGACTCTACTTGGATGAGCCACCAACAAAGGGCATTGCAACATACAAAAAGCTAAAGTGCTCGTGAAAAGTAGGTTGCATTGTATGTTAATATAATTTTTGCACGTCTTTATATTTTTATTGTATCTAAATTAAATAGTCAGTTCAACTTGCATAGCACAATTGATGATAACAAGTTTATTAGATTGAATTTCTTCGATTGATATCGTTGCTTGACAACTATTCTCAAGCGCGAAATGGTAGGAAAATATTTTTAAAAGACACTCTAAAGCATGCCAATAGAAGGATGCAAAAGGTAAAATTACAAGGCTCCATTAACCAAACTGACGAGTAATAATAACTCACGGTCCTATTGAATCATACTCAAGGGAAGATAAAAACTTTAATCAAGTCCAACATATTTTTCAGAAACATCAAATGGTTCATAGTAATAAACATATCTTTAATCTAGTGGCCTTGAATGATGGACTCTGATTTTTCAGTATAAAAATGGAAAGAGCATTGTATTGAAATTTTTAATACAAATTTAATATTTGAATAGAGGATTTTATAACATCACAGTTATTTATATAATAAGTTACATCTATCATGCAGTTAATCATAAATAATTAAACTGTGGATAATTATGGACTAATACTATCTAGCGTTCTTGAGATTTCCCAATTTAGAACATTTCAGTTTTTTTAAGCTTATTAGTGCATGCATGTCTCAGTGACCTGAACAATATCTTTGTTACCTGGTATGTACGGTACTTAATCTTTGAATGCATGTGATCGATGAATTGTTACATGTGACTTGTAAACTGTTACTTGTGATATTTATCTAATGGATTGTGATCAGATCTCTTGAATATATAACTTATGGGCATTTATCTGTTACCTATGCACTATGACTTGTGAATTATTACGTATGACCTATATCCCTTGTTTGAGCCCCATTATTTTGATAAAAATAAATTTTTAAATAGTGTATTAATAGAAAATGTGTTGTTAAAAATAATGAAAAGTTTTGAATTTGCATGTAATATTATTTTATTAAAAAATGTGTGTTTGAAAAATGTCAAAACATCATTTAAAAATGTATTTTTATCAAAAAATGGTAATCAAACAGGGGCATAATCTATGAACTATAATATGTGAACTTGAATCTGTGACATGTTATCAGTACACAAACACATGTGATATTTGATATGTGACTAGTTAATTTTGAATTGTGACATGTTGAAATTGATCTCGTGTCCATTTTGTGACATGTAACTAAAAGCTGGGAATTGTATTCAATTGACTTGTGACATTTGTCTACAAAAATTTTAATTGTGACTTGTAATAGTATTTGTGCCTAACATATTTTTTCACGTATATTTGCAGAAATATTTTATGTACACATTTGTCTATTGAATATATCACATTCACCGTTGCTGTTGGTTGACCTATGACCTTTGCACATAAATTTAAAAATCATAATTATAAAATATAGATAGTACCATATCTTAATTTATATCGAAAACTTTATCGAATAAGATCATTTTTGACTTTTGTACAGATAAAGTCATTTAAAATTTTGAAATTAAAGTCAAATAAAAGCCTTTTAAAAAAGAAAAAATAGAGTAAACTAAAGTCAAATAAAAGGTTTTTAAGGAAAAATAATAATAATAAAAAACACCTAGGTATCAAGCGATCAATTTAGCAATTGATAGCTTAATTCGCGTTTACTATCAAAGCAAAAAGTTTTGTTCACGCCTTATATCTAGGTAATGCCTAAATGCACTTTTTAGAACACTGCTTAAAAGTTAGTTTCATAAGGACTTTTATAAAGAAATTTAAAAGTTATTGACATTTTGACTATCCCTGAACTTTATAAAGACTTCTAAAAAGTTTTAGCTAAATAAATTATGACTTTTTAAAATTCTATAAAAGTCTATTAAATACATCAATGTTTTTAGAGAGTGATATAATCTACATTGACTATGCCTAAACGATTTAAATTACAAAAAGTGTTTAAAAGTTCCAATTAAATAGACCTCTAACTTTCAATTCGTACTTAATCTAATCACGAATCTTAATTCTTAATTTGGGACAAAATTGAATCAAGTACTGAATTTAGACCAAAATCAATTGAGTCAAAGCTAAAATTTGTCAAAATGTCAGATTAGGTCAAAATTTAGATTTTCCAATATTGGTGGAAATTCAAATCTTAATCACAAAATCAAGTTTGGTCAATATTCTCCACTCTTAATCAAAATTCAATTTAAGTCAGAATTCCCATTTTCAATTAAAATGGAATCAAGTCAAAATTCCGAAATTTGGTCTAAATTGAATTTAGGCCCCATTTGATTGCACGAAATTTTTCATGTAACTTGGAATTCAAATTTCAACTCCCACTTTTGACCTGTTTTTCATGTAAAACAAAGTCAAACGAACACCAAAATATAGATGGTTTTTTGATCTTTTTTTTTCCTGTTTTTTTTGGTTGGCAATGAAAACAAATTCTAGGAACAATGGTAGAAGTAGATATCCCTTAAATTTACAATTTCCATATAAAATAAAGCAAAACGAATACAAAAAACAACACTTTTACTTCAACATTTTTCACGTGAAAAATTATACCAATCAAATACAATAATTTACAATTCCCGGGAAAATAATTTCTAAGTAATTCAAATCCCTGAAATTCATTTTCTTTCCACCCAAATTTCATCTTCGCAATCAAACAGACCCTTAGTTCAGTATATAAAAAATTTATACGATTTAAAACAGCATATGAAATTCCACAATTTCTCATGACAAAATTAATTCACCTTTTTTGTTTATATAGATTATAGGAGTCATACTTTGACAATTTTCGTAAGTGGGAACAATTTTGAACTCGATCTACAACGATCTCAACATAGCACAGCTGTCCATCCTCTAATCACATGACGAGAAAAAAAATGGAATCCAACCAACACCTTTGTAAAAAGGCAGCAGTCGGCGGTCGCTTGGAGGAGGTTGAAGGTTCTAGTCTCTCTCTTTCGTGATATTAAGGATGTAATGACAAAGTCCCATTGAACCCTATAACATAGACTACATGGGAACATATGAGTACTCTAATGGCACAATAGGCAATTAATCTCATTGACTATGGCCTGTACCAATGTCTTCTTTAATTATTAAGTCTACCAGACTATCGGGGCTCGCATATAATTCTTTAAGTTCCTTAACCTCGTAATATCAATGACGTGAGTCTCAAATTATTTTATCGTATCAAGTATAAGAAAGACAAATAAGTTAAAGCTCTTTGGTCGCAAAGATCTTCAATACTCAAGTATCTGAAATAAACTATGAGGTAACATTTATGTGGTGGTTAAACCAACCACCATTCACCTTGTTATTGATCTCTCTTTTTTTCTCTAAAATGGAAAACAATCTAACTAGATGCGAAAAAAGTTTTCTTAGAGTTCGTTTGATTGCAAAAATGAAATTCGAATGGAAAGAAAATGAATTCCAGGGAATTGAATTGAAGGGAAATTGTTTTCCTGAAAATTGTAAATTATTGTGTTTGATTGGTATAATTTTCCACATGAAAAATGTTTAAATTAAAGTGTTTTTTTATGTCCGTTGACTTTGTTTTACATGAAAATTGTCAATTAAAAGTATAAAATTTACTGGTATTGGGAATGAAATATCTTTCCATTGTCAAAACCCAAAAAAATAAATAAATAAATTCAAGAAAATCATCTATCTTTGGATGTTTGTTTGACTTTGTTTTACATGAAAATTGTCAATTAAAATGAAATATTTTTTTACAATAAATCTGAGAATTTGTTTCCATTACCAACACAAAAAATAAATAATTAAATAATTAAAAAAATGCTACAGTAACATGAAATTCCAATTCTCACCATTGATTTTCCTTAAAAACCAAGAAAAGATCAATTCCCGAGACAAGCAAGAAAAGACAATTCCATAGAATTAAAATCCTATCAAACACCATAAAGTTGGATAATGGAATTCTATTTCCATTTTCTGTGGAAATTTTTGGTGTATCAAACACACACTTAATGTTTACATAGAAACTTGCAGGGTTTACTCAGAAACTTTCACATGCGTTCCCATCCTCCAAACAACTTGCAGATGCAATGGAGTTTCCAGTACAAGCTTCCACCAAATTATCAACAAGCGCAGGATGCAAATTATTTTTGCACCATAGCTTGTACTCGGAACATTAATATAGATTCCGAAATTAACATACTAAGAGCATTGTAAAAATAGAGACCAAAAAAAGAAAAAACGAACCAAATTACTGCATCCTAAAAGCAGACGACTGTTGGAATTAGCATCAGGAAAATCACCAACGTGAGAAGAAAAACCATGCAATTCAACACTGTAAATGAGTGTGGCAACATCAGAGCTGATATGCTAAACCCCAAAAATAAGGAAAATAGATTTAACTTTTAGCTTCATATTTCTTTAAACTAGCAATGGAACAAAGAAAAGAAGAATCGCACTTTACAAAATGTTTTTTTTACCAAAAGAGCTAAAACTTCAAAGTTCAAACCTATGACTTGACTATCCTCTAGTGCGCTAAGCGTTACAACCTCACTCCAAATAAGTCCCACACTCTGTCGTCAATGAAAACCATCAAAGTCCATTCAAGGCCAGAATAATGTATACCTATTGATGTCAAATGCAAGGTTTGGATACTCTGGTGGCATGGTATAGGGATAACCATTGCTATCTTTGTTTCCGATGCTAAGGACAGAAAGATCAGAACCATCAATTTGCGACGGGGTAGGGAATAATCCATCAATCTGGCCATTTAAATAACGTTGTGGACTGACAGGAGAAATCACGTTCCTAGGCATATCAAAAGAACTTGGGAAAGCACCACCGTAACCATGTGGAAATACATCACTGTGATAACTTTGTGTTCGTTCAAACCTACACGAGTTCCTCCTTGAGGGGCCCAAACTACTTGGCATGCCAATCTCGTCTGGGGAACTGAACTGCCAGTTTAGATGGCAAGGCCTGTTGCCCAAACTTTGGAACCCCAAAATCCAAAACCCATGCTCATCATCAAGCAATTCATTTATGATGCCCATGTGTGGGAATTCATCTGCCGCTACACCATGGCTTTGACGCGAAGATGGAAAGTCATCTTGCGTTCTATTGCACTCTACAGGTCTGTATAAATCACAGCTTTGCATGTCATTATGCAGCGAAGAATGATCACCAACCACGTTCCCGCCATTATCCCCTAGAGGAGACTCCATACATATAGGTCCTCCATTCTGCAAAGCATAATGATTTGCCATTCCAGATGATATACTTGGTTTAATCGACTCTGATTCTATACTATCAGAGCTCTGTGTTGAAGAAAAGGGTGTAGATACAAGAGCAGGCGCCTGGGAGAATGAATAAGCTGCTGCTTTTGGAGAGTGATGTTGAGCATAAGAAAGTGACCTTCCTGGGACAGAGCTACCCATCATTACATTTCGATAAGACTGTGGAACATATATTTGGGTTGCGGATGTAGGTTCAGGACCCAACCGACCAGCAGCACTAACTGAACGTGCTAATAGAGGTGCTGTTTGGACCATGGACGCAATGGAAGTTGTGGGTCTGGGCCCCAGAATTAGAGGAGCACTCAAGGGTCTGGACTTAGCAGGAGGCATTTGCACTGTTGAGGTATTTGAAGGCTTTTCAGTTGTGTAAGGTTGCTGCTGAGATGGCTTTTCAACAGGTTTTGGAGTCGCAGCTTTCTGAGCATCGGGTTCCAACTTGGCAACTTTTTCAGCTGAATTTATCAATTGCATGGATCTATCAGGTTGTTTAGGGTTGTCCAGAAAAGGTTTCACATTGGCCTTTGACTCCGAATTTGGTGGAGCAGTAGAAGGAACGTTTTTGGAAGGGTTCCTGGGAGGTGAAGACATTAAGCCTACTGTTTTTTCCATGGAGGATACTTCAACATTAGCCCCATATTTGGCACTGAATTTTTTCTGCACCGAAATATATTTTTCCTCCTGTGATAAATAAGGTAACAATTCATCAATCTATGTGACCTAAAGAAAAAGTTGTTTCTCAGAGGGGAAAATGGGAGGTAATAAGTGTTCATAAGGATAAAAAGGTTCTCTGAAATATACTATGTTATAGAAAAGATTTTCGAATAATCAAATATCATAACTATATCATATATCCCTGTAGGACATTATGATTTTACAGTCTTCCTAAATGAATTCTCGAACTGGATACCAAATACCTTCTTCCCCACATGCTGCTCGACCTGGCTTGTCATATTCTGCAAGGATTGAACAGCAGTCCGAGCCAGGGATTCAGCCTTGAAACTTCGAAATGCATCATTTGATTGCCCCATGTCTGTCCCAGCTTCAGATGGCCGACTAAGTATTTTATTGACCCAATCTGCTCTGTCAGAAGTCACTTTGTCTCGAGGTTTCCTCCCTCTATAGATATGAATAAATATTAACATTTACCATAATTTCGTTGCAGAAATACTCAAACCCAGGTAAAATGTTTACCTGCTATATGATTTTTGGTTTTTACAGGTAGGAGAATTGCCTCTGTGAGGCACATTTATTGACAAAGGGATCGAGTCACTGGAACATGTGGATGAACTATCATCCACTACACATGAACTTGTTCCTTGTCTTCCATTTTGAACAACAATAATTCCACTGTTGTTGGCTTCTGCGGGAGGAAGCACTTCAGAAGAATCAGTATCCAAGTTGACCGAACTTGAGTCCCTCTCTTCTGAATCAGGAAGAAGCATTTTTGGAACGCGAACCACTGAATCAGACACATCAGAAACACATTCCGTAAAATCAGGTATTTCGAGTGCTATTTCTAACTCTGTGGTCAAGCATTCTTCTTTTTTATCCATGGAACTCTCTTGCTCAATTTTGTCCTGCAGAATATTGCCAAACTTATCATCCCTTACCTTGCCTTTCATTTTGATGTTATTCTGTTTTTGTTTGGCCTGAAAGTAAAAATATTTACACATGATAATTATGCAAACATCAGAGATATTTACAGTAAATCATGAAGAGATCAAGGAAAAAATAACATCAGAGATATTTAAAGTAAATCATGAAGAGATCAAGGAAAAAATTAAGTCTCAATATCTTTGTTTCCCATCAACTGCAGCTTGCTAAAGATGTCGACGACGGTTTTTCACAAACCTGTTTTTTATTTGACTTCTTTGCCTTATCAGCTGCTCCACGTTTTACTTTCTGCTCACCCTCAGCAAGCCAAGCGGCCTCCTCAAGAATGAGCTCTTCTTGCCTCTTTAAAGCAACAGCCTCCTGGTAGGCAAAATCAATTTTACTGCAGTATCGCAAAGAACTTAGAAGCAGAATTCAACCAATGTATCAAATATTGAAAATAAATAGATTCTACTCCCGAATCGCCAACATATTATAAAGCAGCCACGTATAATACTTTGTAGAGCAGAAATGAGGGAAAGGCCTACTGATAGCAAACGCCGTCAAAATGCAAACTAATCCAAAAGAAACAGTGAGGAAAAGTACGAGTCCATTAAACCACTTTCTAATGGTACAATTTTATTTCAACACTTCAACAGTCTCTGATTATACAATCCTACTATCTTAAATCTTAAATTAGAATTATGGTACCAACCACTTTCTAATGGTACACTTTTATTTCAACACTATAGCCTCTGATTATACAATCCTATTTAAATCTTAAACTAGAATATTGGTACCAAGAGCAAGATGTCAGTTATCCTCATATCAAAGAACATTGCCTTTGACCGTGGGAAGAGGATCAATTATGCCCATCAGTAAAACGAATCACCTGAAAATATGAGCCAAGACAAAGATCTCAATAGTCCGACAACCAAGTTCAGTCAGTCGCCTCTCGTCACATTCAATAGAATCTTTGTTGAACTCTTCTCCTGCACTCCCATCCTAAAAGTATTCAAGAAAAAACATATACTCATTTGGCAAGAATCTATAGTCAATACTAATTTCATACAATGTTACAAAGCTGAAAGAGATCAAAAATATTTAAAACCAAGCCAGTAATCATTAAAACCTGAAAGAGAAAATATAGGAAAAAATTCCAAGATCATGCCTTGCGCTTTCTTTCAAGAACACATGAGCAGGACTGGTGAGTCGGTTCCCATGGGCGAAACTCAGCAACACTTGAGCTGATGGAAGCGGTAATCAAATTGGTTTTTCTTGACATGACATTAAACTAAAAACATTTTAAATTACCCTTTCTTTACACTAGAAGAAGCAACCAGGGTGAGTGGTTTTACTGAACATAAATTCCACTGCCCTCACTGAGACAGTCCAGACATCTAAAGTTCCTTTTGTAGATTTCTACAAATTATCCCCCAATTAACATCAACCTGTCAATTGCTGTTTCCCACAAGCCTACTTATATTATATTCTCGTTTTTGTAATATTCTTGAGCCTGTTCAGGAAACAACTTTCTCCAAGGCAACAGTGAAAACTCACATCAAGTCTTTAACTGTTGTAATCCTCAAGTAATGATACTTATTACATCGCATATTCCAGACATCAATGTACTCTAATATGAAAATTGAACAGCAACAATATTCCAGCTTTTACCACTAAATTTACCTCAGGGACTTTTAACATTCTCTTGAATGCACTAATTAGAATTTATAGAAAATTATTGGTCATGTAAACTTTCATGAACTAGGGTTACAAGAAATATGTGGCTGATAACTTTTCGAGTATTGGGAAAGCAGCCAGAGTTGCACAAGATCTTGCAACCATCTTACATTCTTAGTGGACAATAATTTGGCGCCATTTAAGAGATAAGCACTTCCAGGAACTATATACTCTATTTAAAAAGAACAAGCACGCTCAGAAATTCTTCGCAGAATGCATAAATAACTGACCATAATGATTCTCACCTTTGTACGATTTTGAGGACCCTTCTCATCCTTTGGAGGCAAAGTTTCTATGGCAGCCCTCTCAAGAAGTTGTAAAACGTCATGCACCAAGACAAACATATCTTTATCGATGCCAACAATGGGAACTGGTAATTCTTCGGCCTCTAGATATTTCCTGTTTTCTTGCTTCCCATTGGTCTGGCCTTCAAGAACCTTCAGTCCACTATACAATGAATCCATGACTAGAGTAGATGTGACTTCCTTTTCAATGAAAAAATTCTTCACGATTATTTTGAGTATTGAGTCCATTCTCTCTCGACACATGTGGCGCCTGGAACCTTGGTCCACACTCAGCCAGAAGGTACAGAAGCTGAAAATTATCACCAGTTATTGTTTAAAAGTCATGCTAATCACATAAAAATGTTATATTGTATATCAGAAAAAGTATGTTCAAGTAATTCTACTTATCAAAAATACTACGTTTGAATAATGATTATAAAAAATAATCAAGTAAATACGATATAAATGGCAAAACAAAATATGCAACGTTTAGAGATGTTTAAAACAATTCATGGGGAAAATATATGGGGAAGGAAAAGAAGTTTCTTAAAAATCATGAATACTACCATGATTAGCACAAAAAAAAAATGCATATAAGAATAGAATTTTATTGTTGTACAAGCTACAAAAGCAGCTGAATGTAAGTCTCTAAAAGCTGTTTTTTCGATCTAAAATGAAAATTAAAAAAAATATAATCATGAAAATGAAAATTGGCATGAGCATCACCTTGACGATCTAGCTTTGTCCTCTATCAACATTCCCAGCTTGCCCCGCCATTCTTCTACAAAACAACGGCAAATTTGTTCTACATTTGTCAAGTACACCCGAACAAGTTCCCTCCTATATTGACAGTCCAGGCAACGGAATGGACGGTCTGCTTTCTCCCTGAGAAAAGCAAAGATGCAGATTATAAGAATTATTGTACAAAAACAATTATTACATTGATTACAACTCACAGATTCACTGAATCACGATAGCAGTAAATTCAGAAATACCCCTTATTAGAACAAAGGTTTAAATTTGACTCCAATCATAAGAAAAGAATTCTATATTCTCTACATGTTTCTTTGTCTCACTAGTCTAAAAAGATAAGAAGCCAATTGTCCAAACCACCTCCATAGCTCATTTGCACAGCAGGAAGAGATTGCGCATGTTTCGTGCATGAGTTCAATCGATCACTATAACATGAAAAAGAGTACTATCATATTGATATAGACCTGTATCGATAGTTACAGAACCAAAACGTGATCCCAGCAATCAGAAACAGTTTCTTGTAAGGAGAATTTGCTTCATCATTACATCTTTCATATCATCCTTAATTTTTGCCTATGTTTCAGCTTTATTTTAACTATCCACATTTTTGGTAAATAACTCGACTGAACTTGCAAATGAATTGAAATAGTTGGCACTTTTATGCACCCCCATGCACGTGGTGCATAATTCTTCACAAAGACAGATCTATCAACTCTGAAACCATTCACAATCAACAAAATTTTAACCTTGCAAATTGATGAAAAAATAATTTCCCCACCACCTGATAACTTGAACTTGAGCTTTAATAATCAAAGTATCCGCATCTATAAATCCGCCTAACACTTTAGATAGCTCCATAAATTTTTTCCATCCCCAGTCGTGCTCCTTCTTGCAAAAACGATGTAAGGTGTCTGTAGGTTTTGCAATAAAATAATAAGACTCATCACAATTGCATATAGAACACACTACTAAAAAAAAATTAGCAATAATTGAATAACTTACCAGAATACTTGGATTTTTTAGGATCTTTATTCACCACAGCAATAGCGAACTGAGCAAAATGGCTCCAACCTGTTTCCAAGACAAAAAATCACACACACTACAAACCAAAATTCTGATTTTCAAGTAATTCATCAGAGAGCATTGAATATTATCATACCTGGAAGAAGCTTGTCATGATTAGCCACGCAAAGAAACAGAGAGAGATGATTGCAGACATCGCAGCCTTGTGGGTAAATCAAAATATACCTACCATCCAAAGATCGCAGTAAATATTTTCCACAACATTAAACCCTTGCTTGAGCCTCATTTTTGGGGATAATGTATTTTGGAATAGCGATTTTTGGAAAATGTGTAATTAGAAAATAGGACAAAGTTTTGAATTTACGTGTAAAATTATTTTATGGGAGAAAGTGTGATTGACAATGAATTTAAAAAAAAAAAAAATGAGTTTTGAGAATAATGGGGCTCAAACAAGGGCTAAATTGAATCATTATACTGCGTGCCTTATGTAAGAAATTAACAGTAGTACAAGAAACAGAGGAAAGAGAGAAATCATCAGAAGAGGTATTTTAATTTATGCGTTAATTTGATTTGTGCAAACTATTAAAATCTTGCATCTCATATTGTTCGTTCATGGTTAAATTTTTTATATAATATTCCTCAATATATCAAGAAATGCAGCATTTCATTCATTATTGATATTAATCAATCTGGAAGTGTACTATGCCATTGATGGGAGAAAAAGAAAACAAATAAAAACTTATATATAAACATCATACAGAAGCATTGTCTTATAGTCGTCATTTCAATGCAAAACAAGGAATCAAAATCAAGCGTTTCTGGAAGGCCCTTTCCATATTTCTATGTTACCATGAAGTATACAGCAGCGCTACCATCTTCATCCTTAAACCAACTAGAAATATATTCTACAGTATAAAGTGGTAAAACTTCAAAGGTAAACCAAAAGAGAGATAAAAATGAAAAAAGAATCACCACTCAGGGTTAAACAATAAAAAGAAAAATCAGATTTAGAAAATACTCAAGACAATGCATATCCAGGAAGTATATCTGCAAGTGCTAAAGAAGAGGAATCCATGTTATTATCCAACTACATATGCAGGCCACAAAAGAAACAAATACTCGTGAGTGTCGTACCATTTGTAGCCACCAACCTCAAACGCCTTACTCCGAAGTTCTCTTTTGTTAATCTGTGAAAACTTATCAATTTTCCAGGTATACTTTCCATATAATTCAGAAGGTTTCAGTCCTGCAACGTAAGGAAGCCACAAATAATAAATGATGGCAGAGAAGACGCAAACTTGAATGAACTAGATAAATATGCATATATACCTCAACAGAAAATGTTAGAAACTATAGTATTTGCAAAAAAAATTCACCTAGAAAATTCTAAATCATCATCACTCTACCATTTCAAAAACTCGAGGAGGATGTTGTCTGCTTGCATAGCATGTAATTTCCTTAAAACCTCATGCTTCAATTGAAACTTGAGAACACAATAATTTTGGAAATGTAAAATTGTAGCTATTAACACATTGATATACGAGCAACACATATAGAGTGTATCAAAATCATCTTGTTTTCTTCAAAATCCAATGTAAAAAGGGTTATATCCACCAATGGCCACACCCAACTTTGTATTTAGTGTCACGATGACCACCCAATTTAATTTTGTTTCGTCATGGCTACCCAACTTTATTTTTAATGTCACCATGATCACCCAATTTGATTTTATTTCACCACAGTCACCCAATTTCATAAAACGTTTCACTAATAGCACTCAATTTCATATAATGCTTAGCTATGGGCACCCAATTTTCACCATTTTTACTAATTTTAAAAGGGGTCAAATGATAACTTTGCATTATATATAAAAATAAATTTTAAAAAATTAAAATAAAAATTTACTTTAAAAAAATAATAAAATAAAAACTTATTTAAAAAAGTTACTTAAAAAATAAAATAAAATAAATACTCTTTTTAGAATGCAAAGTTTATTTTATATATAATGCAAAATCACCGTTTTAACCCTTTTAAAATTAGTGAAAAAAGTGAAAAGAAGTTTGGTGGTCATAGTAAAACATTATATGAAATTAGATGATTTTAGTGAAACGTTTTATGAAATTGGGTGGTCATAATGAAATAAAATAAAATTGAATGGTTATGATAACACTAAGCCCCCGTTCGGCCCCCATTAAATTTCATTACATTACATTTCATTTTTCTCTCTCATATTTTTCAACCACACAATCTTTCATAAAATAATATTACACGTAAATCGAAAAATTTTCTTTCTTTTTCAACCACTTATTTTTCAAAAAAATAATATTCCACCCATTTTCATTTTCAGAAAATGGGGGCCAAACAGGGGCTAAATATAAAGTTGGATGATCATGATGAAACAAAATCAAATTGGGTGGCGATGGTAACACTAAGCCCCCATTTATTTCCCATTATTTGCCCATTAAAATGAAAAATATGACCGTTATTCATCACATCTAGCCACCATATTAGACTTTCTATCTCTTGTGTGAAGCCCATAACGACTATATTTTTCATTCTCATTTTTACATTAACGTATACCAAACGGGGCCTAAATATAAAGTTTGGTGGCCACCAATGGATTTAACCTAATGTAAAAATCTATTCTGAACTCGATTTCTTTCTTTGTTTCCACAAAGAAAAACGTGATATTCTAATCTTTGTAGAGTTCGGTTACGATTTCTTCCTGCCCCGTTCAGAAAGAAATGATGGACTATCTTGAAGATTGGATACAGACATGCAGTGGTACATCAGAGCAAACTGACAAACTCTAGAAGGCAATGTTTAAAAAGGCATAATTCGATGTTGAGGCATTTTTCCTTTACAATTTTTTAATTTTTTAGTAATTGCTGATCCCTAAGGTGGGTCAATCAAAACACACAATTTTTTAGATATTTTTGTAGTAGCTAGTGGAACAGTTGGCATGGAGTTGGTCAATTAAAATTTTTGATATTTCGTAAGCTTCCACTTAAAACAAAGTAATTAAGGCTGGAGAATTAAGGAGAGCTCATATAACAAGCCTTGAGGTGTGAGCCTCCAAAAATTGCTTCACTGTTAGCACCTTGAGGGATTTTTTATTTTTATTATTATTATTTTTTTTTTTTTGGTTGCATCGCTCTAAGGCCTTAAGGAAGGCCCAATCACATTTTTTTAAACAATGTTGGAAGGCAAATTTGGCATGTGTTCGTGACCATGCAGACAAAAGAACATAAAAAATTTAGTTGCAATTTAAGAATTTCAATGGTGTTCTAGTTTCCTTCTTAGAGCTTAAAATTAAAGCACGATGATAACCAACATATTTTGAAACTGATCAGAGGCCAACTGATGCAACACCAATAGAACGATTGAATAGAGAATGTGAACCATATCAAGACATAAAATATGGACCATATATCTTCTGAAGAATTTTATATGTTAAATTTTGGTCAAATGATGCCGCAAAATTAAAGCTTCACAATTCTCAAAAGAATTCAAACATATCCTTGACAGAAACAAATCAACATCCACATTAAGTTGTTATTTGTGGTTAATAACTTAAAATACCAAAAAAAAAAAATAATAATAATAATAATAATAATAATAATAATAATAAATAAAAATAAAAATTGGAGCGATCCAAAGCAATAGCTTTACAGAGTAAGTCCCTCTAGTGTTTGCACGGGCTACCAAATTGAATGAACAAGACCTTATAGAATAAAGGCTGTAGCATTTTGAGGAAAAGGACATTGTGAACAATATGAGCATCAGCCCTTAACGCATGCAATTCTAGCAAAACTAATGGATTCTTCTTTACTTTCCAATTTCAGTTTTTACCTTTTCCTCTTTCATTTTCATTCCCTCTTTGGTGGGGCAGTATGGAGGACCTTGACTGTGTCCTTCAATACCTGATATTCTTTATATGGTTTTGGCATTTTGAGGAAAAAGACACTCACGAAAAATATGAGCATCAGACCTTAATTAGATGCATACAATTCAATCAAAATGGATTGTTTTCGCTTTTCAATTTCAGTTTCATCTTTTCCCCATTTAAGTTCTTTTCGTTCTTTGGTATGGCATTCAGGAGATCTTGTCTTGACTCTTTAATGCCTTGTTCTTTTTTACATGGTAACTAATGAGCCCACTCCTCAGCTGCCCTATGGCGTAAGCCCAGTACGTCAATGCACGAGCTTCATAAAACTTTACCAAACATCAGTTGTAGCATAATTTTCATAAAAGATTTCCAAATGGCACTCGAGGTGTAAATTTCAAGTCATTTAACGAAAGCCTCACATGATGCATGCCTCAAGGCGTAAGCATCAGACAACAATGTAGAGATGCCCTTCAAGGAGCTCACACCTCAACCGCTCTGTGGCGTAAGCCCAGTAAGTCGAGGAGTATGATTCATCAAAGCCTTACCCAAACAGCAGTCAAGGGGTAAGCTTGGAGACATTTAATGAAAGCCTCACGTGATGCACGCCTCAAGGTGTAAGCGTTAAGACAAAAATGCAGAGATAACTCGTGACTAATTTCCAGCACAATATAGATAGATATCATGTTACTTTGCCAATCTTGACAAAAACAGAACCAGCAAAGGGAATTAATCAAAATGGCTTCCGAGTAACCTGAAGGGGACAAATGGCATACCACCATCATCGTCGCTGCTATCCCAGTAAGGTGGCGAGGTTGATGGGGTCCCATTTTCCAGCTGCCCAGAAGACCTCCACTCCGCCAATGCTTCCCCAGGCTGGCACTGCTGCAGCTGCTGCCCAGTAGTAACCCCTTCCAGTGACCTTGACCTCCCTGCTTCAGAGTCCTCAGTACCAATCTCAGCCATTTCCTCCTCACCAAACTTCCCCTACTTCACCCTGTTTCAACACAACACAAACTATACTACATTAAAAAGTACAAAAACACATCCCATTCATAGACATACAAACACACATCAGGCAGCTCTTGGATAGCAGAAAAACAATAAACTGTTGGATAATTTAATGCTTTAAATTACTGGATCTTTCATGTTAAATCATCGAGAAATATAAGAATTAAGCGGAAGCATACCTGAATCATGGTTAATGCAATATGATTTTTTCGGTACGATCTTCCAAATCTACACGCAGTCTCCTTTTCCTCTCTGTGATGGGATGCAGTAGAAAATGAATAATAAGTTGCGTGTGATCTGGGGACCATAACCTATTTATATGAGGATGCCCTTTGACCTAATTCGGCCCATCATAGAATTAGGATTTGGGCCCGATCTCTACACATATGTAAACCCATACTTTAATTGAATACATTAAAACCCAAAACTGAAACTTTATTAAATCACTTTAATTGGGCTCAACCGAATTCGATAGCCTATAATTTAACACACAATTATTCACACATAGAAGCACATCTTTAATTAAAAATTCTTACATAAACACCTAAACACAACATGTTCATTTTCAAACTCATATACCAATGTCGGGAGAATCATATGGAATAAACTTAGAGAACAAAATTATAAAGGTCCCTTCAAGTTGACAAATACAAACCCCAAATTGCTAATTCAATGAATTAAACTAAATTTAATTAAACACATTTCAAAACTCGTAAAAGTTGAGATCATATCAAAAAGCTAAACAAAAATCATTAAATCCCAGTTCTCACATACCCAAAATTCACAAAAGGTAAATATCTTCAATCCCATTAAAAAAGATCAAAACTTTTAAAAACAATCATTACAAAAAATGTAGCACCAATTTATGCACTTGTCTGATTCGGATTAAAGCCATAGACAAAGACTCCTGGATATGAGGCTTTAAGTGACGGTAAGTGTGACAATCCAAATTTTATAGTCAAAAATTCAAATATTGACTAGTCAAAGTCAAAGTCAATCAAGGACTAAAATGAAATTAAATATTTTATTTGGGTTATTTTTGCAATTGGCGAAATATAAAGGTTAAATTGGATATATTTAAAAGTTTGGAATTTATATATATACTTTTGGAAGTTTAAGGATTAAAGGTTACTAAAAAGTGAAGTTAAGGGACTTAATTTGCAATTATGGGATTGTGGACAAATAAATTCAAACCTTTGACCCATTTTCTATTATTTCACACACACACACACAGTGAATTTACGGGAGGAGGCAGAGACCGAGAGAAGAAGAGAAAAAGAGGAAAGAAGAAGGGAAAAAAGAAAAGAAAAAGGAAGAAGAAAAGGAAAAAGAAAAGGAAAGGAGGTAAGGTTGATATCTTCAAGTTGGGCTAAATTTTTCCATTTGTTTTAGGTGATAAAGTATGAATTATGTTAAAATTTTTAGGGTTTTAACTTGTTGAATAATATGTCGAATTTTAGGGATATTTGCACGAATTGGAGCTCAAGTGTGGGGATTATTCATTTCAAATTTTCAGCAAGGTATGAAGATGTGAAATTTTTGGAAAACCCTAGAATCCGAATTTGGGGGATTTTAATTAATTAATTGTGAAGTGATTAGGTAAATGAAGTATGTCATTTGGGAATTGATTTTATGGAACAAAGGTATATTATGTGGGTGGAATTGTGGTTACAAGTTTAATTAGATTGGAGATTTAAATTAGTTTTAAATTTGAAATGATGGTTATGTTGATAAATTAGTGATTAACCAAGGAATTATAAAGTGTAATTAGCTCCAATTAATAAAGGAAAATTTGAGAACTTATTTAAGTACCAAGAGCATTTAAATTATGTTCTATTATTAGATTTTAAGGTTTCTCGATTCGATAGCTCACAGTGTATGACTAGTTATAGTGATTTTACCCGCTCTGCACTATTGTGAATGTGTTTCCATAGTGTATGACCAGATTATCAGCTTTGGACAGCTCTAGGCATGTATAACCATAATTTCAGAATTGAATAGCTTTGCCATGTATATCGGTACTAATTGATACATGAGTAAGGTTATTCCGAGTACCTTTTTGGTGTGATTTTCTAGTATTATACAGCTTATCAGATTTAGATAATTTAGTTTGCAGAGTAATGATTTCAACTTATAGTTTTGTGAAATGATATTTATCACTTATATTTACTGATATCAGATTATTTATATTTATTATACATTACAGTTGCTTATCTAGAATTAAGAACAAATAATTTTATGATGCAATCATGTTTAGTTTTAAAAGTGTTACCAAATTTTAGAATTTCTCGAAATTTTAATAGAACTAGAATTTTTAGAAAATATGCATAAATGGAAAAGTATTCTCATTTGCAAATTTTCCACTTACTGAACTATAAACTCATTTATCGTTTCACCATTTTTTTTATCAGATAGCAACTGAGTTGAGCAGCTTTGTAGCCTGTTGATTCACCGAATTGAGCCACACGTCATTA